ACCCGTGCCGTGTCCTCCCCTGAGAGGCCTCCCCGGAAGCGCCGGAGCATGCGCGCGCCTTTTGCTGTCACCATGTTGCCCTAGTTGATGCCTTTTTCCCGGAGTCGGACCATGCATGGGTGGAATTTTCGCGGCACATGGCGTGGATGCCGATTCGCGACCCTGCTGGGGATCGGCGGCGCCCCGAGTGGATTTGTATACGCTGCAACGCCACCCTCACGGAAGACGATGTCTTGCTGCAGGGCATGCATGCCAGCCCCACAGTGTCCGGAACATGGCCCGAGGATGCCCGAAGGCTGCCGCGTCCTTTTCCCCGCTTGCGATCTCCATAAACTGCTTGTGGAAGCGACTGGCGACTGGCCAAGGAAATCGCAAACTTGGCAAACTGACAAATGGCCCAGGCAGGTTTTTTCAGAACCAATGACGTCTCTGAACGCAATGACCGCAGCAACATTTTTTATTTATTTAAAAAAAGCCTGCCACAGCTTTTTCGCAACGCGCCCTGCCCCACAGCACGCGCACAACGGCCTGCGCACACACTGTTGTGTGCTAGACAAAGGCATGGTCTTGAGCAAACAGGCGAAGCAGCAACCTATTTCAGTCAATCAGGTTGGCCCATGCAGCATGCGGCTTCCGCAGGACAGTGTGAAGGAGAAGCAGGCATTGAAGGCCTGATTTTTCTACTGCTGTTTTCTTCTCGCGCGCCTTTTTCCGCTGCATCCGTCGGTGTGCTTAAGGGGTTCGCCTCCGGGCACTAGAGGGCGGCAGCTTGTGCAGCAACGTGTTGCTGAAGCGGCACTGACGGTGCCTGTTGGTGCTGCTGCTGCGGCAGCTGCGGCTGCTGACGCGCTCTTCCACGGCTAAGCCGCTCGGGGTCACGCCACGCACCGGCAATGTTTGTGTGCTGGGCACTGGGTGCCGCACCGGCTGGCGAGGCAACACGAACGGGGGGTGTCCCCGGCTGCATACGCATCCGCGCTGCGTGGACGCTCTGTCGACGGGAAGGGAAAAGGAAGGGAAGAAGTGGCTGGTGTCGACTTGGAGAAAATGAGGAAAGATGAAGAGATGGAGTGCAATGTTCGCGCCCCCAAAAAAGGTCGCAGAGCCGCTGCACAGCCGGCATCAGCAGAAGATGTGAGAGGATTGAAGCTGCCACGCAACTTTCTCCTGCTTTTGCACCGGAAGCTGCTTACTGCAACGGATGCTGCGGGGTTGCGGAGCATGGCGTTCATGCTTAAAAGACAGACATTGCATGCAGTGGACACATTGCGCATTGACTGTGCCCTACGAAAGCGCCGCTCCTTGCAGGATCCGTTGCCGTCTACCGCTTTCACAAGCCTACACAGCTCTCAACCTCAAGTGTTGTCAAAAAGCGGCCAGTGCCAGCTCCCCAGAATGGTCTGCTTCCTCTACAACCAATGGCTTGAGAAAGGCACGTGCTGAGAAGCTCATGGAGTTCTTGAGGCAGCAAAAGCTCCAACCAGGACAACGTGTTTTAACATGGGTTGACAAAGCTCGAATATTGGTAGTCCGGATTTTGCGGGGAAGCTCCAGGAAGCTGTCCAGATAGGTCCGGGAAGGTTCAGGGGAAGTCCCAGGAAGGTCCACGTAATAGGTCCAAAGAAGTGCTGGAATTTTTGACAGTCTTTGAGCTCCAGGAAGCTGTCCCTGTCCGGATAGGCCCCGGGAAGCTCCAGGAAGTTGTCCAGATAGGGCCGGGAAGGTTGAGGGGAAGTTCCAGCTTTACATAGGTCCGGGAAAGTTCCCAAAAAGTCCCCAACAACTGTTCGAGAACTGGCTGTTGAAACTTGGCCAAAGACTGCTGAAATCGAGCTCTGCCATGTTGGTCTAAAAATGTCAGTCTTCAGCCAAGTTTCCATGGTTTAACCTGTTTCCCGGAGAAGCTGTCCAGATAGGCCGCGGGGAAGCTCCAGGAAGCTGTCCAGATAGGGCCGGGAAGGTTCTGGGAAGTTGCAGGAGTTTGGAAGCTGTGCGGATAGGTCCGGGGAAGCTCCAGGAAGCTGGGCTGGTGTGTTGCGAGCACGAGACAGGCCGCTTTGGCCGCGCGTGTGTGTCGTGAGGCTGGTCCTAACGTGGGTGCTGCCCCAACGGATGACCGGAACCCCTTAATTGCGACAGAGACGCTGCGGAAAAAGGCGCGAGAGGAAAAAAAACGGAAAAATGAGGTCATTGCCAACAGGGTGCCTGTGTGGCGGCGCCCAACTCGCCGTTGATTGTCTTCTTCTTCGGAGCCCCGCCACCAAAGGCGAGTGGAAGGAGCCGCCTTGCGCATTGCCAGGAGTGACATTTCGCAGCCTTGGGGGCACAGCTCACACGCGTGCCCGCGCAAGCTGTCGGATGAAATCAGTTGCCTTGGCACTCCAAGGGCGCCCAGGTTCGATGGCCAAAGCGAAGAGCCGGGGGCGGGACTGCGCGAGAAGCTCGGGGTGCGTGCGCTCTTTGGGCTGGTTGTGGCTTCCAGGCGCCGATGGAGCTGCTTGCTCTCTGCGACGGCAGTGCGTCTTTCTTTGCCTCCAGTTTGCTGCGCTTGCCCGTGCAATCCACCGCCAACCTGGACAGCGGATACTCCTCTTGTCAGCCGTATCCGGTGAGGCACGTGTGCGTGTGAGGACGCTGGCCTCCGAAAAGCAGCTGCCCGTGTTTTTTCCTCCGTTTCACCCCGTAGCCGCTTCCGCTTGGCAGAGGCGTGGTGCAGCTGGGGAAAAAACACTTGGATTTTGAAATACGCCCCGCCCTGCGCGAATCCAACTTGGTCGCGGTAAAGTCTTTGAGTAAGTAAGCTTGTGTTTGCCTTGTGCTTCCACAGCGCCAAGCAAGGCTTCACGCTTCACCTCGTCAACGTCTCTGTTTAGTCCAGGCTCGCAAACCAAAACCCACAGCGCCTCCAAACTCCAAACCCATGGAAAAAGCGCGGGGGAAAAAAACACCGTCGCGCCACAGGCAGGCAAGCTGGACCAGCGGAAGCCACGGCCGGCCGGGCATGGGGGAGCAACTGCTTCGGGGCTCCATTGACTCCAAAGGCAACCAAGCGGCAACCCCGGCCCGCCAGCTTGTGCAGACTCCGCGTCGCCTAGGACAAAAACCTGTCACTCTGCAGACGACTCGGTTCCACAGCCTCGCGCCAGACTCGGACGCTCATCAGGCGCACTTTGCGCGCGGGCTTGGATGCTCTTTTTGCTTGCTTCGCGCATGCTGCCAGCGCAAGTTGGGCAAAAAAGGTTCAGAAGAGGCAATCTCTCTTGGATAGAGTGGTCGCTGCATATCGGGTCATTGCGCTCGCCTTGCTGCGAAACGGTGGGAATTCGCACGCTGTGGCGACGGGCGGAAGCAAGCAGAAGCATCCTCAAGCACCGTGTTTCACCGTTGGGGCAGATGCGAAACATATATTCGTAGGTCAAACGTGTCGTTTGCAAGTATTACCCGAATTTCATGTTCTAAATTCTCCATCGCAGAGCCCTGAATCATTTTTGCACCCCCCTCAAATTCCCAGACACAACGTGCTTTGCAGGTTCCACCTAGGGCTTGAGGCAGCCTGTATTTTTCAAAGTTTTGCTAAGGTTGTGAATGCCATTGTGGACTGGCCAGACCCGCCCATGGGCCGGGCACTTAGCTCCCACGTGCACAATGATTGGGCCACATGCATGTTCTTCATGTTTTGCAAGGGAACACGCACCTGCATACTCAGGCCTCGCTACTGCGTTGGAACTTCCTTTGCTCGGCGATGTGCCTTGGCTGTGGAACGGCATGGTTTGTCAAGCGCGTGTTGAGAAGACTAGACCCTGCCCACTTTTAACCCCACTTTCCCACCACCACACCATCACACTATCCCAATATCCCAACCCACTGTCACACGATCACACTATCACATCATCACATTCTCACTTGTCTATCAGCCCATGCCCTCATCACATTCTCACAGCCGTGCAGCTTGTGAGGGCAGCTCAGAGTAGCCATGTGGGATGGGGGTGCAACGACATCCAGAAAAGTGAGCCGCTCGCCTGGGTGCAGCTCGTGCTGGATCGCTCGCAGGGCAGTTTGAAGACCAAGCGGATCACCTTCCTTCTGGTACCGAGTTCAGTCCGCGACCTCGGGTTACATGCCAGAACTTGCTCACGCTTTCACACTGTTACTCTATCACGCCATGACACTGCCAGGCGATCGCACTATCACACCATCCTACTATCACACTATCACACTACCGCACTACCTGCCCATGACCCCATGACCTCATGACCCCATGACCCCATGACCCCATGACCCCATCACGCTATCACACTATCGCACACGATCACACTATCACATGATCACACTATCACATTATTTTCTACTACTACTACTACTACTACGACTAGATCACACTATCCCATACACTTTGACATTTTGACACTATCACACCTACACGATGCCCCTATACAGAATAAGAGTATCACGCACGCACACGTCGATATGGGAGCAAATTAGTTGCACAACGTCATTGGGCCTGCGCAGGTGCTGGAATTCTCCTCGCCTGGTGCGGCTCGATTTTATGCATCTGACGGAAGCAAATGGCTTAGCTTTGCATGCGCAGTGTTTTGGAGGCCTTTTCACGCTTGCCGTATTGAAGCAAGTCCTTGATGTGTTCCGTGGGCTTGGTAGCAGCGTGTTCATGCTACCTCGGGTTGTAACCAACCCCCAGGAAGGGCCGGCAGCAGATGGCTAGTGTCGGGGGCACCCTCCACATTTGCAGATTTCTGTGTTGCACTTTGGAGCTTGTTGCAGTTGCGCTGGATAGTGCTGCTCTGCATTGCCAGGTGCAACCACAGACACGTTCTCGTGCATTTCAGTGTTATTACCATGCATCTGGAACAAATTTGGCACAGCACATTTTCATGCATCGTGGTGCTTGTGATGGCTTGCGACGCTCTGACATGTTGAATCAGCCTGCACAAGCTAGGCCGTAGAGTCCATGATGCCACACACGATTCATAGAACATTGTAGGATGCTAGCTGTTTCTGCGTGCCCATGGAAGGTGCAAGCTGTGCCGTGTGCTTTATCGCGGTCCCCGCCTGAAGCTAGAAGCGCTATGCGTGCTGGATGGGAGGAGGCTTTTGGATTTGTTGGGTTGGCTTGCTGCTTGTGGTCAGCCACTTGCCGCGGCCATGGGGGGCGTTGCTCCCGTTGCTCCCGGCGCTCTGCAGACACTTGGGTGGCGCCTTTGGTCCACACCAAGGGGGCGCCGAGCAAAGGGAACTTGGCTTTGGGCGCCGTGGAGCAGAACGAGGTGAGGCGTTTGTACGGGCAGGTCTTCAGCCCTGAGCTCCAGGCCTGGAAGCCAGTGCTTTTGCAGCAGACTGGGCCGCAGCGATGGGAAGATGGGGGGGGCCTCTGCTTGGATTTGTCCCTGGAAGATCTCATTGCAGCCGTGCCGGGCAGAGAAGGTGTGGAAGAGCCAGCGCCCGCCTGGCCAGCGGAGCTTCGTGAGGAGCTGGCGCAGTGGCCGCTGAAGGGGCCGGGCACGTTGGTCTTTGACCCCAACTTCTTTGTGCAGCGGGGTGCTGCCCGGGTGCTGCTGGGCCCTGGGCCAGTACTCTTCCCAGGGGCTGCGGCTGCGCTGGGGCTGCCCACCGCTGATTGCACACAGGCACTGAGAGCAGCTGTGGCCGGCCGCAGCCTGCAAGCAGTACTGGGGAAGGCGGATTCAATGGAAGGTTTGCTGGGAGGGCTGCCGCCGAGCCTCCAATCTGGGCATTTTGACCTTCCGACAGATGCATCCAGCACCTGCGAGGCGGTCATGCACCAGCCGCTTGATGTGTTAGAGCTGGAGTCTCGCTCCTGGACGTGCGGGGCAGTGGTTCGAGAACTGAAGGGGCCAGAGGCAGGATGTATTGGATGCCGCGTGGGTGACTTCATTTCCAAGATTGACGGCGCAGATGTGATGGACCTGCCTTTTGATGACGTTGTCCGACGACTGAGAGCGGGCCCTTTGAAGGTGAGCTTTGCAAGGCCGGACAGGACGGACTTTATGTATTTGAGAGAAGTGCCGGCAGTACCAGAATCCATGGCGCCCTTCCTTGGTGGTGAGCCTGTTGACATGCAGCAGCTGGTCCCGGCTTTGGCTGAGCACTTGGCGGGCGGCGACCTTTTTTTCCACCGAGCTACCCCTATGCTCTTTGCCGGGGATGGCGGCACTGCCTCGCACTTGCACATCGATGCTCAAGGCTAGAGCAAGGTTCAGTTGTTCAGTACTCAAGGTGAGTGCAAGTCCAAGTCTCTTTCTCCTAGACGGTTCTCATGTGAATGAGAGGGCTCTCCTGCGGCATAGCTTGCGACATTTCAGGACCACGCCCCAAAGAGTTTCACCGCTTGTCCATGGCAATCCAACCATTTCGGAGCAAAGTGCCGCAAAGTCCCACGTTTGCCCGTGAGGCACTCCACTGGTGCAGTTCTGCCACGTGCTCCACGGCACCAAGCTCCTCCTCACGGCACCGAGGGCCGACGCGGAGCCCGGGCCCGTGCTGCCGTGGGGCTCGGAAGCGTCGGAGGTCCGGTTCCCCGCAGGAGGCGTCCTGCAGCAGGAGGCTGCGGAGTGGCTGCTGCGGCCGGAGGCGGAAGGGAAGGGCAGAGGCGGTCCGTTGTGCTTGGAGGGTGGTTTTAGCCGTTTGCCTGCTGAAGTATTTTCAATCAAAGTCAAGAAGCATTGCTATGACAACACCTCTAAGTGGGATAAATGATAAGAAGACTGGACACACCAAATCTTGTACTATAGGGCAGAGGGCCAGCACTGTTTGAATGAAGCCACCGGTCATGTGTCTAGCGAAGCAACGCGCAAGCGCTGCTCTCAGGTGTCGGTGGCTGCGGCGGGGCCTGGGGACCTGCTGCTCTTCCAGGGCCAAGCTCCGCACGCGGGCTGCAACGGCACGGGGGAGCTCAACGTGTCGCTGTTTCACAGCGCGCAGCCCATCAGAGCCATGCTGGAAGGTGCCTTTGGGCCTGCGTACCAGGCCTTGGCCCAGCGGATGACAAGCGGAAAAAGCTTTTGCGGCCACTTGCCCACATGCGTAGCCTGCAGTGTCTAGTCTGTTGGCAGGCCAGTGTTAGGGATTTTCGCCTGGCCCCCAGCCTGTTTTGAGGTCTTTTGACCGCTTCGCCAGCTTCAGCTGGTGCCTGAGACATGTTGCCCTTTGATGCCCCCCAAGCAGCGAGGCGGTTGGGAGCTTCCAATGATGAAACAATGACCCTTTTGGGGAGTAGCTTTGCATGAGGCTGTCCTACATTGTCAAGTTGGGTTCCGATTGGTCCTGCGTAGCAAACCTAAGTTTTTTTTCTTCTTTTGGCTTTGCATTGTTCCATGGGAGGCGATCCTCCAGCAAGTCCAACCTTCTGTTCTTACACCGTTTGTGTAACCCAAGAGGGCATCCGCAAGAGCAGCTCAAGCAAATGAATGGAAAGTAACAAAGCCAAGCGCTTTTCTCACCTTCCGGCCTCGCCCAAAGGAGGAGCTGACGGCCTGGCCGTGCACCGGGGCCTGGTCTGCACGGCTCGGCGTCCAAGCTCTTGGTGCAGACTCACAAAGAAAAGAAGGGATACGTTGTCTGCATGGCTATTTGCAAGATGAGGATGACTACAATACAGTTCCCAAGGTTACAAGTTGACCATAACGACTCAGGATTACCTGTCAAGCGAGAACTGGAGAGTTATGACCCTTGATTACGAGACAATTGGATAGAGACGTATTCCCCAGTGCGAAAGGAAGGACAAAACCAAATCGCTCATTTATATTATCACTCTGGAACAGTGAGTTGGGGTCGGATATAGGTCCCATCTATTAGTAGAAAGGCAGACTGCAACCGCAGTCAAGGGTCTGGAGTCTTAGTTACCCGTCTCTATCTCTCGCCGAGCATCTTGAATTCATTGTTTCTCATCCACCCATTCCTCACGGTCTAGTTCATAAGCAGGAGATGGTTGGGTGAGGGTTAGCGAGTGAATCATGTCTACGATGTTCATATTTTGTACTGGTTGTTCCCATTCTCCGAGATGTAGGATATGCTATAGACGAGGGAAGACCACTACCACCATCCTAACTCTTCTTCATGGTAGCTCGCAAATACACAGCATATAATTTAGGATCTTATCTCTTAAGCACTTTTATATTGACCATCTTATCACCGCTCCCCAATCCTCGCTAACAGTCGGGAAATGGATGAGCGAGGAGATGGGCCTTCCTTCATCACTCTCCCACATTGCTCCTTGGAAAGTGGTAGGTGAGACCCTTAGCATGTTGTGCTCCAGTTAGCCATGTTGTGCTTGGAGAAGACGTATGAAGGAAAGCCATTACTATCCCATCCCATTGCGAGATTATTGATGGCTCGTTCATAATCATTATATCTTCGTATTTTTATCATTTGACTACTGTTGTTTGATTCTTTCCTGCCTTCATGTTAATATTGCAATGAGTCCATCTCATATAGACAGGACATAAAGATGATTACCTGGATGCAAGAGAGAGAGTATGCTTATAAACAGGACCAGGAATGCAGTCCTTTCATTCAAGTCGTGGCTCATTCGGTTACTTTCTGGAAGCCACGTAAAGAATACTATTAAGAATAATAATAACTATGTTGATACATTACAGAATGCAGAATAATTAAGATGGTAGTAAATAGAAAAAAGTGACGTAGTATTGAAGACTTCTATTTCTTAATCAAAATTATGGATTCTTTCTCAGCTTGGCCTGTCATTCGCCTATCTTTTGTCTTGTCTATTAACTCTGGAATGCATGACGCACAATAATTCTAGTTAACGACCCAGTTGCAATGAACGACCCAATTTTAAAGTGTTGATTGCAATCAACGACCCAGTTGCGGGCGAGGGATGGGAGGGAGGGAGAGAGAGAGAGAGAGGGAGCGAGAGACAGGAATTACATGGAATTTCTTAGAGACAGGATATGAAGCCATATGATTTGTGTCTCATCCGTCTTTCTATTTTACTGTTGATATTTGACCCGGAAACATTGCGGCACGATTCTTGATGGCGAAGAGATATGCGCAAGGGCAGGTGAGAGTGGGCAGCTGAGCCTCTTGAAGCAAGCCCACACGCCAGGCTCAGAAGCAGCAAGGTGCAGGACGATTGGATAGCTGTTGGGGTGTCCTGCTTCCCACATTTTCCCGCCGGATGCTGCCCAGACCACATATGGTCAATATGCAGGAGGTCAGTAAATAGCTCTGGCAACCAGCAAGGACATGTGAAGTGCGGCGTGCATGCAATATCTCGCGGGCCAGCCGTATGGGACAGACCAGCTGTATTCGGGGAACTATTGCAGATAGAGAGTCACAGTTGGTTGCTTGCATTGCATTTCAATTCGGGACTCCGTGTTTCATGGCTATCGTCCCACGGTCCGCTTTGGTGACACCATGTCTCTTTCATGTTAGCCAATCAACATATCAACATTCGAGCTCCGCCTTCCCAGGAGCTTAAGCGCGGGGAAGCACAAGCGGCAGCTTGGGCTTCCGTGGCTAAGGAGGAGTCGGGGGTCAGACCGCAGGTCGGGTTGCGGGTCGCGGGTTGCGGGCCCAAAGGTCGTTTGAAGAGGCACAGTTTTTCAGTGGCCATGAGTGTGCAAGGAACTTGTACTCCCAGCATTTGCAGGAGCTTAACTTTGTGGCAGAGTCACTGGGCCTGACCCAGGCTGTGGCAGGCGAGGGGCCTTTCGGGGGTAGTGCCAAAGCTCCGGCCCGGTGTGGAGGATGATCAGGTAAAGGTTTTGTCAGGTTTAGTAGAGCAGATTGCAGATTCCAGTGTTGATTTCGACCCTCACGCCATTTTCTCACTACCGTTTGAAGGCCACTTGGTATTACTTGCACTTGATTTATTGCTTGCCCAACTCTAATTTTGGATAGCTTTTCTCTTTCTGATGCGACACGTGACAGGGTTGGGAGTGGAGAGGGATTCGGCCGTTTCCTTAGGGCCAGCAGTACCTTGGCGGCCCTACTCGGCCTTTGCACCCTTGGGTGCGTGCCTCTGGGCGCTGTGGGAGCCGCGGCCCCGAGGGCTTTTGCCTTCTGGGTGTTTTCTTTGTGTTGTGACACCTCACGGCAATAGTTCGTTAGCCTGGGCCGGATTTGGCGCTTTTGCCTTCTAACAGACAACTTAGATGGTTAAGGGGCTGGTGCTTCTGCGACAGGTCCTGCCTTGACCGACTCGAGGTGTGCGCTTTGCGGGGAGCCGCTGGTGATCTTCTCGCCCGACTATCCCACGAGGGTGGGGCAAGTGTCTGAAAGAGAGGTTGTCAGGAAGGGAAAGGGACTTGCTGGCTCGCCAGTTGCAGAATGGCTCAAGCAACTGCAACTAATATCTTGGAAAAAGAAGCGGGCAACACTGACATTTTGGCTGCTTGTGTCCATGTGTGGTACTGTGCTTGGACATGGGGCTTTCTGGTTTGGAGGGAACGCGCCGAGCCTAAGAGAACCCTGTTTGACAGGCCTTTGCCGAAGCATGAGCCGGCTTTAATGCCGTCACGAGCTAAAGCAGCAAATGTAGCACAGTCTATTTCTATGTATTCGCATACGCCTTTGAATGTGCTTGTCATGCAGGTGGCGGAGGCAGTTCTTGCTGCCGGGCACTTATAGCTGTATGCAGGTGAGGGGGGATGGATAGTCGGAAAGGAAGTCAAGTTCCTGATGAAACCTGCTCTTGAAACCTGGCGAGTGGGATGTTCGAGTCCAGTCGCGGGTTGGGATTGGTCACTCGCTTGGATGCAGCTCAGGCGACTTCATTGATTACACCGGTGGATTACATGGGCGACTACCGCCCTTCGGCTGCACTTGAAGTTGCCTGAAACTTGTTTTATGTTAGTGGAACAAAGCTGCACGTTGGCCAGGCAGGCCAGGCCAGGCAAGCCAGGCAGGCCAGGCAAGCCAGGCAGGCCAGGCACAATGTCAGCCGCTTTCAAAACGCATGTCGACAAGTCCTTCTGGCCTCCCTTCGGCAAGGCCCATACTTCACCATCTACGACGGTGACTTTGAGCACTACCGGCATTGCGCCGGGACCTATGCGTTTGGAAAGCAAATGACTGAAGCTTCCCGAGGGCTCAGGTGGTGCTGAGCTGACAAGCGTGATCTCAATATATCTGAGTGGAAGCATTGGCTGGTTAAAGATGTGAGGAACAAGAATCCTTCCCACAAATTGTTCCTCTGACCCATCCAGAGGTGGTTTGCAACCAGGGTCCAAGTACTTTTTCCCTGGATGGCGTTTTTCGCCGGCAGTCCTTGATGGCTTCTTGTGGAGGGCGCGGGAATCTCGGGCGATCGTCCGAGGTTCAAAGCAACGCAATCAGCTCCCAGGCTTGGGCTGTGTCCTTTTGGGGCGTAGCCTGCGGGTGCGACATTGGCAGATGCAGTCGCAGGTCGCGCCGGCCTCACATGGAGTACTTGTAGATCGGAAAAAGGTTTGTAGGGGAAGGGCTGCGTTGGCAGGCAGTGATCTTTGGAGTCACCAACCCGGTGATCATGCAGCTTCTGGCTGCACCCTCAAGTGGATGGCATCAGAGTAAAACGTGGGGAGCGTCGTCGGGAGGTCCGTTAGTAGATCTCCGTTGGTCCAGGTTGGTACAATTTGAGAGAATCACGCTTGGGTTAAGCTGCTGAGGCAAACAATCATGTTTCATTGTTCGCAATGCTTGCCGCTGTGGCACCGGAGGTCCCCCCAGAAGATTTTCTGAGCTTGATTGGTGTCGGCATTTCCCGGCTGGGTATTTTGCAGGCAGGCTGGTTTCCACGGTCCCGTCCTCCCCACACTTCGACCCAGCTTGAGCTCCGTCAGAGGCGGAGTTTCCTCTCGCCGTGCTGCTGCGGAAGGGCAGCCAGCGCGGTGCCCAGGGATGCGGCAGCGTCTTGACCCGTCAAGACGGGTGGGTAACCGGATGTAACCGGTGGGTATGAGATGGTAGTCTCATCCAAGCCCCACTTCGAGCCACGAGCCGATGGAGGGCGCGGCTTTGGGGCCCACAAATCCTCCACCTGCCACTATGCAGGGTGTCTTGTTTGAAGGCTTGGATTGTCTATGGGCTGTGCCTCCAAG